ATCTTGGCTCAAGATTAATTACTCAGGCAGTTTGAAACCCTCTATAAAGGAGCTAAGTAGCCTACTGGATATTTGCCTTTTATTACCAGGTTTTGGCTCATGGATTCACCCAGTCGTTACTTTTAGATGATGCTGGCTCAGTCCTGGCCACAGCCACCAGCTGGGATGAACTAGAAATTCAAGAGGAAGCGGAGTCTGGCAGCAGCGTCACATCCACAATCCGACTCCCTATACAGGTGAGCAGATGCACCCATCAGAGTGCCCAGGGGCTGGACCAGACCAGATAGCCCACTCTGCAGAGAGGGAAGAGGTCAGAAAATCAGCCAATACACAACTTCTGAGGAAGAGCCAAAAGCCAAATTCATGATTTTCTATTGTGGGGGTAGAGTAGACACAGGGCCAAGTAGGTAGTGGACTGTTCAAGAAGTCAGCTAGTGATTATTGCCTTGTGTAACCCGGCCTCTTCTCACTGGAGAGTTGCTCACCCCAAAGTGACAAAAGCATAGAGCACAGTGTCACCTGCCAGGTCACCCCCCAGCCACTGAACCAGTGATGGCAGTGGTCACTTCTGTTAACTGGACTGCTGTGGGGGGCTGCCTGGGGAGGTCCAGGTCCTGGTGCATGAGCCTAGTAAGGAGAAGTGGACCTACTTTCACAACGTCTCATTCAACTGGCACAAGTTGGCGACTCAACCTTCCTTTGTTCTTTTAGCCATCCTGGTACGTCCAGTCCTTCCTGTTTAGCCTTTGCCAGGAAATTAATCGGGTTGGAGGTCACGCTTTGCCAAAAGTGACACTGCAAGAAATGCTGAAAAGCTGTATGGTCCAAGTGGTGGCTGCCTATGAGAAACTTGCAGAAGAAAAACATGTGAAGGTAGGTGTTTGAATTTTTTCCCACTAAAAACAGAAAAACCTGAGGTTTTTTCCCTTGGGTTTGGGCAGTTCCCATAGAGGATTCCAAGTGTCTATACTCAGTGCAGGCTAATCGGTAGTGGCTTCCCGCCCTGTGAGTTCATCCTGCCCTTTCTCAAGGATCGAGCAGGTCTGCACTAAAAGGCAGCTGAACGGGAAGGGGAGAAGGCCTGGTGTCCCACCCCAGCACTACCACGAGCATGCTGTGGTTTTGGGCATAACGTGAAGCTGTCTCAGTTTCTCCAGGGTCAAGTGTGGTCATTGGAGAACTGCTTGGGCGGGGTGGGGGGTGGACCATGCCCAGTGCAGTGTGTGGCACACAGAGGCACTTACCTAAGGGAGCTCCTGCCTCCCAGCCCTCCACTCCCCTCACCCCTTTCCCAAAGTGTTCTGCCCTTGGATGTTCCCGTTTCATTAGTGACATCTTTAAGATGGGAACCAACTCTGGATTTGGGAAAGAATTAGAGGAAGTCTCCTCTCCTGAGCTGCTCAGAATGCCTCTCCTTCACTTGAGCTTTTTTCTTCTAAAAGGGCAGTCTGTAGCACCCGAGGCCTCTATTGTAAGGTTTTTTAGTTTGGTTTAAGACAAAGTTTTGAGTATAACCCGATCTTTTGGTCATTGTGACATCAAACCGCCCTTTATGAGTATACAAAGCTGCTGCTTCTGAAGCAAGAAACTGTAACTCAGAGCATAAAGTTGTTGATTTTGTTCCTGTTAACAAGTCACCTCCCTTCAAGGGTGGGGATGGGAAATTCATTTACAGAAAGAAGGTGCATTCCCGATGACCCAGAATCGGGCCCTGCAACTGCTTTATGATCTGCGTTATCTCAACATTGTTCTGACAGCCAGGACTGAGGAGGTGAAAAGTGGCCGCAGCAAACAGGACTCCAGGTATGCTCACCCCACCTAGGCTCTTCCCCGTGCTGCCTCCCCCAAGCACACACAGCCCCTCTTCCAGAAAGCCACAAAACAGCCTCTCCTTGTGTGTTAGCGGTTAGCTTTAACCAGGAAGTGCTCATATTACCAGCTCGATCAATAGTGGCCACCTGCTGGATAAATGCCGTGGTGGAGTGTGGTAGGTGGAATCTCAATCCTCTCTCTTGTGAGTCAGCCTACCAACTCCTGGGTATAATTTGAGCCTCTGGCACTGTCCCTAACAACATGAGGAAGGAATGGACTTCACTCCGACATCTTAGCAGGCTAAAGCTCTTGATTACTTAAGCACGATGGGCAGTGAAAAGTGGTACCAAGCCAGGAATTAATAATAAATCCAAATACGGAGTTTCTTTAGCACTGAAATGCCGTAAGGTTGGTTTTTGACCTAAAAAGTGTGGAGACTAATCATAATCCTCTTTTCAGAATTGAGAAAGTGGCTGACTATCTGGAAGCACTCATTGACCCGTTTGACCTGGATGTTTTCACACCACACCTCAACAGCAACCTTAATCGCCTAGTGCAACGAACTTCTGTAAGTCACGTGAGAAACATGCTCAGTTTGTGTGCAGAGCTATAGGACCCAGCACTTGGTAATCCTGGGGGCAGTGTCAGGAGCAGGGTGGGACATAAATAGCTCACCATAGTAGTAAGGGCTGAAAGAGGATTAGATAAAGTCTCACTGCAGAGGCAATCATGATCTCCCCCCTCTACAGTTTTAGATAAGGATTACTAAGGTTTTATCAAGGCCTCAGGGGAATAAAATAAAAGCGATGTGACTCAGATTCTGACCTGGGGGCAGTGAAAAAGGAAATTTTGAAGCATGAACACACTGCAAGCAACATTCCCCAAAAGGATGGTGAGAAATAAAGTAGAGCTTGATTTCTAGCAAGAGAAGTGATTTTCTCTTTTCGCTAGACAGGGACAAACCTAGCCTGTTACTGTCCCCCATTTCCTGTCAGGTTCTATTTGGATTGGTCACTGGGACAGAGAATCATTTCACTCCCAGGAGCTGCACATTCAACTCCCAAGAACCCCATAATATACTGCCCCTGGCGTCGAGTCAGATCAGGTAATGATTCCAAAATGCTTTTGCTGAGGCCAATCTGAAACTTCCCGTTCATGCCCCTGAAATTCTGCATCTTGTCTTGGAGGTTCGGACTTCTTCCACTGAGCATGACAAGTACCCGAAAGGCCAAATCAACCAGCAGAAGTATGGAAACAAAAGCCCAGGTTAGTGCAGAGAACCGGGGGTTCACCCCCCATCAATCCTATCCCCGTCTCCCGCCAAACCACCTGATTCACTCCCCCTTCAAATAATCGATAAAGAACTGAATGACAAAATGCACTAATGCTGCTTTTAATGGCGGCGCAATATAGAAGTACAAGATTTCACTAGCTTGAGCTGCGAGAAGTTTTAAAAGATGCCCATTTACGTCATTAATAGCCTCATAATAGAAACGTCATCTCAGGCTGCCAACGCTGTAGAAAACAAGCAGGACAGGATGGAGATTATTTGTTTGTAGGGTGAAAGAGTTAACCGCTAACCCAGTACTACGACTGTACTTCTTTGGAAAGAACTTTTGTTCTGGTGGTGGTTTCATCTTCCATTTCTTGCAGTTGGGGTGGGAAATAAAAGGGAATTTGCTTCTCAAGTTTGACATTTTCTTCTTAATACACATTTTGTTTCAGTAGACTGCCATCCATTAAGCCCGCAGGAGTCCTCCTGGGTATTTCTGAATTGTGTTGTGTACACGTGTGTTTGAGCCCAAACAGCTTGTCTTCTTCTGGCATTTAGTTCTGTTGCTTTCTTGCTGGACAAAAATATTAGCAACGTGTCCTTTCCACCTTCCCTGCCAACAAACCCAGTAAGACCAAAATTCTCCTTAAACATTGGCTGTTAACACTTGGGAGGCGGTAGTGAAAAGCCCAAGCCCTCCCCTCTGAAAGCTGGGACCTGAGCTGGCACTTGCCTCAGAACTCTCGATCTCCTACAAGTAACCGACCTGTAAGTTCTGTCTATAGTAAAGGCTCAGACCACGGAAAGGAGGTCCCTGTGTTTACCCTTTTCCTACAACAGTCCTTATCTTCAGATGTTAGTTCTATCATATGATCAGATCTCATTTTGTCCCCTAGATCCTTTGCTGGTCTCCACAGAGCAAAGTCCCCTGACTACAGCTATCCGTGCTTCTCAGATCTGCTTGTGTGTGCTGTGTGGACTCCAAGTGGAGTGGAGGGTGTGAGCAGGCAGGAGGGTTTGGGTAGACTCTAAGGCACTTTCCTCTACATGCATGGCAGGTTGTCCCCCCGGCACTCTCCCGAGCAGGTGACCCAACGCATCCTGGCTCCTTGTTCAGACAGCTGGTCAGTGAGGAAGAAGACGCATCTACGCCTTCATTATTCAAGCTAGGTTGGCTCTCTAGTATGACTAAATAACATGGGAACGTATCCGTCTCTCTCTAAATAAATACTACATCATTTCTTCTACCGGTGTCTCTGCTCGTTTGTTTCTAACCCACACCAGTCTTTCCAGTTTCAGCGGTGGAAACATGGCTCCCCCCACCCCCCCACCCATTACTGTCAGGGGCTACTTTATGTATACAGTGAATCCTTGTCCAACAGTTTCACAATACTTGTGATGTGAGACAGCAGTTCAGATAGCTCACACTCAGTCAGCATTCCTCAGCGCCTTAATTCTTGAACCCCAAGGTGGGTTCCCAGTGAGGTTTCGGAAGCTGCTGGTAAAACAAGTCTGTGAGTGAGACAAAAGGTCATTACGTACTTGACTGTCAGAACTGTGCCGTGTTTCCTAAGTCTGAGATGGAGGCTTTGGAGGAACAACGGTAGCGGAAGTGAGCTGGGTATACAAGTCTGAAAGACATTCTCTCTGGAGATACAAATATATAACAAAGAGAGAAGACGGTTATTAGCAAGGCTGCTTCACTGACACAGTCTAACTTGGATCTGATTGTTCTCCTGTTACGGAGGAGAGAGTACTTTCAACAGGACATCTACATACTAAGAGGTAGTATGGCAATTAATTTCAGTGCAAGACTGAATCAAGCTTTCTATATTTTGGAAAACAACTTAGGTTTTTTTCATGGAAACTAGATACTCTTTACTAGTTTATTGAATTTAAAAAATTGAAGATCCCGCATTTTTAAAAGGCCTTTTTATACATAAAGTAGAATTTCTAATTGACAGATTTGGAAATCAATCTGAACTGGACAAACTATGGATTCAACACGCAGATGAGATTTCCTCATACCATTACCTTGACATGGATTCGATACCCACCCTCAAAAGAATCCTATAAAAAATTGCTTCAAAGCCCCTTTGAAATTGCAATAGTGCAGCAAAACCACAAGTAAACAACTGCCTGTTAACCTGTTATTTCAAATATAGACTGAAAAGCCAACAGGCATATTTTTGTGCAATTTTTTAAAACATCATAAGTTGAAATATCAAATCTGCACAGCGCTGTCCCTTCACAGAAGGCAAGAAACTGCCGGCACATCATGTTGGAGGCCGTCCTCGGTGCTGTAGGCTATGAAAGTGGGCCTCCTTCAGGGTCTGGTTGATGTGGAAGTAAGGGCCTTGGCACAGTGCGGACTGCTCGGGAACAGGCTGAGGGGTGTGAGGGCCGGACCCAGCAGCTGTGTGGTTCAAGCTGCTCTCCGGCCCGCCTGCCCTGTCCGGGCTGTTGATGCTGCTGCTGCTGCTGCTGCTGCTGCTCCCACCACTATCACTGCTTGAAGACTGGAAGGAAAAACAAACAGGACCACTGTTAGGCTGTTGGGTTTCTTAAGAACGTCGCTGTGGTCTCATTTATAATACCCCATGTAAGAGCATTCTTCCTATTTGGTTTGAGGAGTACCAGCATCAAAACATACAGTGGAGCTTTCACCTAAGGTATTTCGTTCTGTCCTGACTGCCAAGTGAGGTTGCATGGGATTATGATCCCCATCACATCCCCAGGAAGCGGCAGGGTCCAGGATCAAGTGCAGGCCTGACCGCAAAGCCCCTCAACTACATCTTCATTCCTTTCCACATCTTCTCTACCTGCTTTCATCATTCATCCCAATAATCTCCAACTAATGAAGGAGGAAGTTCTCAGCCTCCAAGGGAAAGTATCCATCCCTGGTATAGGGCATAAGTGTCATTAACACATAAAACGGGCAGCCCGGGTGGCTCAGTGGTTTAGCACCGCCTTCAGCCCAGGGCCTCATCCTGGAGACCCGGGATCGAGTCCCACGTCGGGCTTCCTGCATGGAGCCTGCTTCCTCCTCTGCCTGTGTCTCTGCCTCTCTCTCTCTCTCTCTCTCTCTCTCTCTGTGTGTCTCTCATAAATAAATAAAATCTTAAAAAAAAAAAACACATAAAACAGCTTCTTGGGCACAAGTTTTTTAAAAAGTCTGACAATTTCGTTATCTCATGGACACAAAATGGTATTCTCTGAATGCAGAACACTTATCTTGAAAGACTACAACATACTTCTTATAAAGTTACACTAGCAATTTTACAGTTTGATAAATGTGTGTGCCTAATTTTTTTAATGTAACAAATATGATTTGGTGTCTTAGTTGTCTTAAGAAGCTACGCAGAAATCCCTAAGAACTAGGGTTCCCAAAAGGGAAGGCAATGGTAAGAATCTTATTTAAGAATTTTGTTATTTTACCATTTAAGTATTATATTTCAAACACATGATTAGCAGTACCCTTCCTCCATTCACAACTCAATCCAATACCGTACAAAGAATCAATCCATGAGAAAAGTTAAAGTTCTAGTAATTAATGATCTGGCGTATACTTTTCTTAACTTAGCCCTTGGATCTATCTAATTCACACACCCTTCCACAAAGACATTGGTTTTGGAAAGTCTGCATACAACTATGTAAAATTACATGTAAGAAAAAAAGACTGGAAAAGAACTAGCCATAGTAGTTCGTGTTAAAATGGAGGAATTACAGTTGCTTTTTTTCTTCCTACCCTACACTAGAACATTCTTGCAATGTGGTTATTCTGTATTTTTGCTATAAAAATAAATATATAGGGACACCTGGGTAGCTCAGCAGTTAAGTGTCTGCTTTTGGCTCAGGGTGTGATCCTGGAGTCCCAGGATCGAGTCCCACATCAGGTTCCCTGCGTGGAGCCTGCTTCTCCCTCTGCCTGTGTCTCTGCCTTCCTCCTTCCCTCCCTCCCTCCTTCTCTCTCTCTCTGTCTCTCATGAATAAATAAAATCTTCAAAAAATAAAAATAAATGTATTAATGTTTCCAGATAGATCATTTAAAAGTGATTTTCAGAATACTAGCTTATCCATTTTTGATCAAAAGTTGTACCTAATGATATGTACAGAAACATAACAAACAGCCAAAAAGCAATGTCCATGAAGGATATCCATTCTTAATAAGACTTAAAGGAAGGATCGTCATGGTCCATATGTCATCTGGAGCTACTTAACAGGTCACATATCCCATTGCCCACAGACGGTAAGAGACAATCTGTTTTTCTGCAAAAAAACCCACAAACATGAAAAGCATTGTAACGGGCTGAATGGAGTCAGATGGCAGAGTTAGCTGCAGCAGCAATTAAAGACTGGGGCACCTGGATGGCTCAGTCAGTTAAGCGGCTGCCTTTGGCTCAGGTCCTGATCCCAGAGACCTGGGATCTAGCCTGCTCAAATGGGGAGTCAGCTTCTCCCTTTTCCTCTCCCACTCCCCTCCCCCAGGCTCATTCTCTCTCAGGTAAATAAATAATCTTAAAAAAAAAAGAAAAAAAGTACTTAAAGACTTAAGTCAAATATAACTCAAAACCAAAAACTTCTCCACAAAAGCCTCTTGTAACCTAGAAGGTAACAGCCCAGATGTGCAGCTCTCCTGCACCCAGTAATGTGAATAGTTAACGAGTCAGCTACTACACTAGGTAAGAAACCCACCGCGCAGAACACTTTGTTTCCTCTTAGTCTGTTTTCTTTACTGTTTTTCGTTACAGGTACTGTCTGAAAATTAAGGCAAGAACTAGAATCAGTTTCTAGGAAGTCAAGTTTCCATCTCAAATTTTATTTCACACTATAATAGCAAAGGTGACACTATTCTGAGAAAAGGTTAAATAAAGTTCTTCAAAATAAACAGGTTTGAAGAGATTTCTGTACAATACCGTGAAAAGACATCTGTGATTTCTAGTTCATTTTAAAAACCTCATGTAAAGACGTGGTTTACACCAACTTTATAAAGACAGGTCCAAGAATGTTTAATGTGGCTTTGTTTTTAACAGCAAAAAAGTGTGAGCCACCTACATATCTAACAATAGGGAAACGAGTTCTATTATAACGTGTATATAAACTAGACTCAGTGAATTATAATTGTTAGCATGAAATTCTACTCAGCTACTAACAATAATGATAATGCATATATACACATCAAGAAAGAAGTCTTCAACATTTTTTTTCAGGTTACAAAACTACATGTACAGTATGCCAGCTGCTTTTTTTTAATGTTTTTCTTTAGTGTAGACAGACATATATGTATGCCAAAAACAGTCTAGAAGGATATATGTGCCAGAATATTTAGAATTTGGACCTTCCATTTTTTATGATTTTATTTTCTATAGCTTCCACAAAAAAAGATTTCTGTGGAAAGAAAATTGCTTCACAATTAAGAGAATAAAGAACATTGCTACCAAACAGTGAGAGATCTTCAGGTACTTCTGACCTCAAGACCGAGACTTAAAAACCATATTGATACTCCCAGTGGGATCTGCAGAAGACTATTTGCCTCCTGTAAGAGCCTCTGAAACTGCCTCATAGTTACATTTACTTGCATTGAGCAGGCCAATGCTACCTATAAACTAATAAGAGTCTATCTAGAATCCAGGAATCAGGGTAAACATGCCTCATCTATTATTTTCACATTTACAAAACGTTATTACCTACATACTACTGTCCTCAAAGGTAAAAGCAAAACACCTTTCAAAGATGCTTTGGTTCCTATCTTCTGCCACCTGCAACAAAGTCTTCTCACCACCAGGGAGGCTTTCAGGAGTATCTCACCCTCTAGGGATGAACCAGGGGTTTTGAAACTGAAGGGGAAACCCATTAGCAGCCAGCATTAAAAAAAAAAAAAAAAAAACAGCGGAACACTGAAAAGGGTAACTGCACTGAGAAACTTGTTTTATTGTTCATGAATATATTTGGTATGTGCTGGGTCACAAAACATTTCTATGGGACAGGGTCAAAAAAAAATGGGGAAGTTACTGTACTAGATATGAACACTGTCACCCAGGTCTACTTTATAGGACAAGGGAAAACCATAATTTCCTCCCAACCCTAAGACTAAGAAATAAGTCTCTGTCAACGTTTTAAGATCTGCACAGAAGACAATCGTTTTATGAGTAAAACCAAAAAACCTGAGATAAAAAAAGAAATCATATTTTCCCCACTTCGTGGAGCTTTTTAGTATCAAACTGCTTGGGAGAGGGCGCTCCTTTACAGTACAGTTTCAAAATTACAACTGCTAAACTAAGACCGAAGTTTTACCTTGTTACTAATGTCGCTCTTAAGAATTCCTTTATCAGGCTTTGGGACTAAGAAAGAGTCCTCAAACCCCATCCCCTGCACCTCAGGAGACCACTCAGCACACACTGTCCCAGTGGGCAGTTGCAGAGCTCTACCTCTTTCCTCTGAATTTTCAGTTTAGGCTTCGTGCTGACATCTGACCCGGGTACTTGCAGGACAGATTTATATTACAAACCAAAAGAGATAAGGTCACGCTCCATGAAATAAAAACCCCTCACACATCCATGTGTACAAGCACAATAAAGTTACATTTATGCCGATTCCGACCAACAGGATCTCTCTAGACACGCCAAGGCAACTCAAAACCCAGGAGTGAAGATGTGTGTGCAAAGCGAGGACACCTGGTTAGCTTAAGCGCTCATGAAGTCTCCAAGCGAAGACGTCAGGGCAGGACCGAGAACCACCACAGGTCAGTCTATTCAGGAATCACCTGTGGGCTTTTTTTAAAAAGTGCACATGCCAGTGCCTCAGATGGCTCTGGAAAACCTGGCCCGAGTACGCAGATTATTCTGATGGCCAAACTGCTGTCCACACAAATGCTCATGTGCTTGCTGTGTACAGGATGGCATCTTGACTAGGATGAACTCAACGAGAATGTGCTGGGCTTGGCCAAGAATATGGTGACGATACAGCCACGGATCACGATCATAACACCATGGTGACAGGAAGCTAGCACCAGGTGCTCAAAGAACTAGGAGAGCCTCCCTTAAGATGAAACGTGCTTGAACTGGGCCTAGAAGATTGAGGAAGAGTTTCAGCAAGCGGGATGTGACAAACTGGGAGCACAAGGAGAGCAAAACCAAGAGGAAGGAGTGTTTGGGGAGGTAAAGCTAAGGGCGGGCCGTGGCGGGCCACTCCAGCACAGTCGGTCAGATAAACTATCCATGAGCAGGTATGGCTCGATGACCAAGTGCCCTGAAGTCTGCACAGAAGACCTGCTCAGATCTCCACGCAGGAAGAGGGTTCTGCGCCTCGAGCAGGAGAGCAGGCCCGCGGGAGGCCTGCGGCAGGCAATGTCGATCAAAGGGGGTGCATCACAGGCCAAGGGGAGACAACCGAGCTGGCAAAGTACTAGGTGCTCAGTACGCATCTGCTGAATGCAAAGAGCACTGGTGAGCCTTGAGGAACGGTTCAGGGGTGTTGGGAAGGAAACTGGGGTCCAGAGGGAAGGAGCGAAGGAGGGAGG